GAACTGTGTGGGTAAATTTGAAAACGCATCACCACCACAGTTCGCGGGCACTATCGACTCGTCCGCGCTCGCCGCGGCCGCGCCCCAAATCGTGAAGAAAGTGGGGGAGCCTTTTCTTTCCTTTGCCTTTGTGGTCTGGTATTCCGTTGAAGTACTTAAGTGGGACAACGCTGCATTCATTGGAAAAGTGTAGCTCAAATGACTGAACTTAGTTTTGTTAGGAGATTGATCACTGGATTGAATACAACAACGAGCGCATAAAGCTTCACGACATGAAAGTCACTGACGGATTGGAGCAGGCCAAAAAGGTGAGTCGTGGATATTCTATCTACCTTTCCCATTACTTCAAGAGGTATCTTACAGGTCGAAGACAAATGGGCTTCCGCACCTCCAGTTGAACACTTCGATCGCCAACACTTCGTGGAATATTTCCCCCAGGAGTTTTACGATCTGCGTTACCAGAACAGGTTTGCTCTATGTAGTTTCTTGTAGAATGCGATGTTGTTCTTTGTTCTAGAAGATCAACAAATTTCACAAGGAGATGGTAATGCTTTGGGTCTCATACAAAAAGAGGGAAGGGGTCATGTGGTGCAAAAGTTCATATCGATTGAAGTAAAGTTCGTACAGATTCGTACAACTCGTTCGGCTCCGCCTCTTTTTATCTCAAGGGAACTTCTTGTTTAGGGCATCATGGACCTTTTTCTTTGCTACTTTTTTTCATTTTTAGTCAGTCGGCATTCCTATCTTCAATATCAACCGCTGACCAAACGAATTCGATCTAAGGGTGTTGCTTTTACGTCCTATACCTGTGGTGTAGGACGTCATATCTATTCGTTTTCTTTAGAAGGAGAATCCGAGTAACTTTTGGACAACTAGCAAATTGATCGATTTGTTAATTATTTTGGCTTCTTGGAATGCTTAGAACTGTTACGCCCTTCAGTAAACTATAGGACGGCTCTTGAAGTGTTGCGCCTGAGTAAAATTGTGGAAGTCATATTGAAAAATGTTTCGTCAATTTTCCAGAAATCGAGGAAATGTTGCTTCTTTAGCACAGTTGTAAAATTGTAGGTTGAAACAGACATTCAGTGTTTTGCAACCCCTTCCATTTCACCAC